GCCAACACGCTATGGAGCACGACTTCACCAAGGTGGAGGAGAACCTCTTGACAGTTCGCCTGGGGAATCAGCGATGTGAAGCTCTGCCGAAAGATGATTGGCACCACCAACCTCAAACTCTATGAGACCCTCCAGCTTGCCACCGACACAGACTGTCAGCAGTGTCCCATATAGTGCTCCCTGACTCGGTGCCCAAGAACTCAGACAAGGACAACGTCTGTCTCGTCCGCCCACCAGGCCGCAGGAAGCCGCAGGGAACCTCTGGACACTCTGGGAAGCCCACCGGTCATACCCCGTGTGCCAGCTGCGGAGAGGTGCACGAGTGAAAGTCATACCAGTTCCGGGATGCCATCTGCCACACATGTGGGAAGCAGGGACACCTCGCCTGTGCCTGCAGATCCAAAGGCAACTGGAACCATCCATCCTAGTCGCAGCCGTGCCACCAGATCTCCGCACACTATGGGGCCACCATGGATACAGATGACCTCTACCTCCTGACCAGCCAGCCCACACTACAGGTACTACACCTCCCCAACTTGCCCACAGTCCCGAAGATCCAGGTCCAGATCGAGGGGTCCCCCTGCTCAATGGAAGTGGACTCCGGGTCAGCAGCTTCCATCATATCTGTGGAAACGCTGAACAGGCTTTGTCCGAATGGCGGGCCCCTCCTGTGTCCATCACCTTTGAGCTTAGTGGACTTTCAGAGGAACCCAGTCCTAATCCGGGGCGTGGGGACCTTCTGGGTGCAGTACTGGAGGTTTGAGGGTTTTCTGGACTTGATTGTGGTGGAAGGGAACCTGGTTAGTCTTTTGGGGCAGGCCTGGTTTGCGCCGCTGGGCATCACTGTCAGGGGAGGGGGTGAATAAATGCGCACCGCGGGATTTTACAGATATTTTGTGGAGAGTTCCCCATGGTTTTTGATGGGGCTCTGGGGTGTTATAAAGGGCCCCAAGTTTCGCTGCAATTTGACCCCAGCGTGGCCCCCATCCGCATGCGGTTCCGCAGCACCCAACTCTCTTTGAGGCTGAAAATTGGTGCAGAGCTGGACCGCTTAGTGGCACAAGGGGTCCTCGAACCGGTCTCCCATGCACCATGGGAAACCCCCATTGTAACCCCCGTCAAGCCCAACGGTGACGTCCACATCTGTGCGGATTATAAATGCACGTTGAATAAGGCCCTTCATGACCATTCATACCCAGTCCCGGTCATGAGTCATGTGTTGGCTTCCTTAGCGAGGGTTAAGATTTTTGGCAAGTTGGATCTCGCGCAGGCGTACCAACAGCTGCCAGTGGATGAGGCCACAGCCCAGACTATTGTAATGCACTGGGGGGCTTTTAAGGTTAGGAGGCTGCAGTTTGGCATAAGTGTGGCCCCAGGGATATTTCAGCAACTAATGGAGTCTTTGCTGAAAGGGATCCCTGGGGTGACGCCATTTTTCGATGACGTAATCATTGCCGCGGCCACCTCGGATGACTTCACCTCCCACCTCCATGCTCCCGTTTCGACTCAGCGGGCCTCAAAGTCAAATGGGAGAAGTGCCTCCTTGGGGTCCTGGAGGTGGACTTCCTGGGCTTCCGGGTTGATGTGTCTGGCCTCCATCCAGCAAGAGACAAGGTCAAGGCCATCGTGGAGGCCCCCAGGCCCACTTCAGGCGTTTTTAGGACTCCTGAACTTTTATCACACCTTTCTGCCACACAAGGCTGCGGTTGCGGACCCTCTTCACCTCCTCCTGGACAAATCAGTGCCCTGGTTGTGGGGCCCGAGGGAAGCGATGGCATTCAAGGGAGTTAAGGCACTACTCCTTTCGAATGAAGTGCTGTCCCTACCAGTAGTCCTCGCGTGCGACACCTCCCCCTATGGCGTTGGCGCAGTTCTTCTTCCTGACGGCCGGGAGGTCCCCGTGGCCTAATACTCACGGACTTTGACGGCCACTGAGTGCAATTACGCGCAGATTGACCGGGAGGGTTTGGCGATTGTGGCAGGGGTGAAAAAGTTTCATAACTTTGTGTACACCTGGGTGCCCCTTCACTATTGTAACTGACCACAAGCCTCTCCTTGGCTTATTTGTGGCGGACAAACAGACCCCCCAGGTGCTCTCGCCCCGGGCTCCATTGGTCCCTCTTCCTGGCCGGCTACAATTACCACCTGGAACACTGCCCAGACAAGGCAATGGGGCACACCAATGCCCTCAGCAGATTGCCCCTCCTGTCCCGGGATGCTGACCCGCCCCCTGGGTCCTGATATTTGAAGGCCTCCTTGAGCCGCCCCTTCAGGCCGCAGATATAGCTACTCGCTCAGCCCGTGACCTCATCCTCTCCCAGGTCTTGGGCTGGGTGGTGAGGGGGTGGCCTGTGTCCTCAGCTGGCCCCGAGTTAATGGTGTTCGCAACCCGAAGGGACAAGCTGTCGACTCTCAAGGGTTGTCTCCTGTGGGGCAACAGGGTCATAGTCCCCCACGCCCTGCGACAACGAGTCCTCAACACTCTCCACGAGGCGCATCCGGGAATAGTCAGGATGAAGGCTATGGCCCGGAGCTACATTTGGTGGCCGAGAATAGACACTGAGATCGAGGCCTGGATGAGGAGATGCCATGTGGTCTCCAGCGGAACCTGATCCAGCACGTAAGATCGGCACCTTTCCACCCCGCAATGAACAGCCAAGCAGAGAGGATGGTACGCACAGCAAAGGAAGCCCTCAGCCGGATTATGGATGGGGACTGTTGATGGGCCGGCACCCCACTATCTTGTTGGACCACCTACATCCAGACTGGGCACTGGACTCAAGGAGGCTGACGGAACAAAGGGACGCTCCCTGGGGGTTCTTCCTGGGCAACCCCGTGTTCATCCAGAACTTTGGGAGGGGGCCCCCCTAGATTGCCGAAAAGGTTGTCTGAGTCACCGGCCCAGTATCCTATGAGGTCTCTTCAGAGGACGGACAACTCCTGAAAAAGCATATTGATCAACTTAGGCAGCGACAGCTCCCGGAGGCTGAAGAGGCCCCCCCCAGCTCGAGGGACCAGGACTCTACATCCCGCAGGCCAGCGCTCGGCCTGAACCCCCCCACATAGGTGAGCCCCCACCGGTCGAGCCCCTGGCCACACTGCCAGAACCCAAAGAGCAGCCACCGCCCTTGCCGCAACCAGACATGACCAGCCAGCCAGAGGTGGCCGTAAGCAACCCCGTGCCAGCGCCCTGGCATTCTCTATGAGAGCGCAGACCCCCCATCTATCTGCAGGACTATGTAACATAGGTTGAATTGGAACTAAGGAGGGAGGGGTGTTATGTGTCCCGTTCGCGGGGAGGGTGGGGTATAAATGCAATTAAATAAATAAAAATAAATTAAAAATGTACGCGGACCGCCACCAGAGGTCCACGACTAAAGCAGGAGCTTGGTCCCCAAACACAAAGGGGACCTAGGATCCTAGTCCACCTCGAGTCCACCAATAGCACCCTTGGCGGGAAATTCAGATCCTCCAATGGGAACATAGGTGTGCCAGGTGGAGTGTATATGGTTGGCCTTGCAGGGCTGTTTTGTCTGCGTTGTTGTGAAGTACAGTAAACACGTCTGAATGCATGTCGTAGTCTGAGTCCTCCATGCGGCGAACCCAGTACTTTACTGAACCCAAATCTCCTCAATACTATTTATACTCTAACCACTATGGTGGTCAACATGACTACAGCAACATGACACTATAGAAGCAGCACTCATACTCTGCTTAGAACTGAGAGCCAAACTAGATGTTCACTTTTTAAAGAGTTTTACTCCATATGGAGTAGCAAAAACAGGGACTTCCCCCCCACACATGGGCTCTGTTTCAGTAGAAATGGCAGGGGGAGGCAGGAATCCTTCCTCTTTCCACAGAGGCATTCCAACCCCAAACAGGCTCTGCTTTATTTTTAATAGCAATTGCTGGCCAGAGTTGGGTCTGGGGAACATCTAGTTTGGCCCTGGGTAGGAGGGATGCCAGCCTCCATGCGAGACCTGGGGTTCCCCTGAAATTACAGCCCGTCTCCAGACAACAGAGATCAGTTCCTCTGGAGAAAATGGATGGTTTGGAGGTTGGACCCTATGGCATTGTACCCTGCTGAGGTCCCTGTCCCTTCAGGCTCCACCCCTAAATCTACAGGAGTTCACCAACCTGGAGCGGGCAATCCTACTCCCCCACCAGTGACTGGGGGCACCTGGCAACCCTACTGGGTAGACAGAGTGCTACAGATACATATTTCCCAGAAGTTCTAAATTGTTTGCTGTCTCCTTCATTGCATGCCGCATTGCAACTACAGTCCCAGCCATTTTCTTTTACTTTTTCTTGCATTTACTCTTCTGCATTGTCCTAAGCTGAAAAGGGTAAGGTTGATGATTATAGGTGTCATGGGATCTTATTCACCTGCCCCCCCCCACATGTGTATATTCAATGGCAATCATTTATGTATGACTTCTGGAAATTATGCAAACGACATTGGCAACTACTCTGTTATTTTATGTTTGCTGACCAAGGAGCTGGCAGTCATGTGGCCCCTGAGCTCCACTGATTTACTCTTGTCAAATTATGACCTCATTCTAACTCAGGCAATCCTTGCCTTTCCTATCCAGGGTTCTGCATGCTGCCTTTGTGTAAGCCCTGAAGCTTCCTATCCCTTATTCCTTTGGCTTAACCTCCTCCTCAGTTTCCTGCCTTCCACAGTCTGTTCCCATGGTCCCTCTGGTTTTGCAAAAAAACCCAACCCCTTTCCTGTCAGGATTTATGTGTTCTCTCCCTCCGCAGCTGGATTTTAGGGCCTGGACAGCTGCCTGTTGCCTGGCAATAAGCTGTGTGGCTTCCCCCTTCTTTGGCCTTTCTCTGCATTCCTGCCTTGCAGCTGAGCTTCCAGCCAGCCGTGACTTCTCTCAGCTATATCTTTGTCATCGACACAGAAAAACAAGGCCAAGGAAGCCCTGACTGAGACCCTGAACTTGGCTACTTTTCTCTCCCAATCTGGACTCCAGTTCAGAACTCAGAATTAACCTATGGCATCATCCTCTTCAGCCCTCCTTCTGGGGGATTCAGCTGCCTTCACTGCGGCCCTCCGAACTCTCATCAACAACCCACAGTTCAGGTGAGCCTGCTGGGTTTGCCAGCTAATAGAGACTGGGGATGTGCTGGGAGCAAAGGCCACAATTGAATTAACATGGGTTCAGGGAGGAAAACTGGGAACTAACTTTGGTAGCCGTGTTGGCTGGTTGAACTATGAGGACTCAGAATATCAGAAAATGAGGAATGATCCTGATCTCCCTGTGGATAGGAAGACACAGTCTCCAGTTTAATGTGACTGTGCATGGGTGACTTCTTGACCTGAGTCCACTCCGGATTGTAAATTGCCCATGTAGATGCAGCATCATTTAATCAGTAGATTGTAAAGGGCCTGTAAAAGAGAACGTGTGTGTATGTGATTACTGATAGCGTTATCTACATGTTAACTTTGAATCCAGTATGTCTGACTAGGCTCCCAGGTCTCATCTGGTTTGACCTGGACCGGTACCATACATAGTGGTGTTAACTTTAAACCTGTGTGTTGGTAAAGTTGCCAAACTCCAGGGGAGGCCTGGAGATCTCCTGGAATTACAAATGAACCCCTGACTACAAAGGTCAGTTTCCCTGGAGAAAATGGATGCTTTGGAGGCTGGCTATAACCCAGGCCAGGGCCTTCTCGGTGTCGGGTCCATACTAGTGGAATGAGCTCCCAGAAGAGATCAGGGTCCTGCGGGACCTTTCACAGTTCTGCAGGGACTGCAAGATGGAGCTCTTCCACCAGGCTTTCGACTAAGGAGCCGCATTACACACTGAGAAGTGTCCCTGTGCCTTGGCTTTACCATCGTCTATCTCCAGCCTGTGCCCTGGCTTACCATCTTTATCTCTAGCCTGTGCGTGCCGTATAATAAACTGAGGGAACTGAGCTGGCATGAATATCATTGGAACATATGGTCACCTAAGCTGCTATATAAATATTTCTTGCTCTTGTTTTTATCAGATCATGTTCCAGCGTTTTTAGGAGTATTTTAAATTATTGTATGTTTATATGTCTATGACAGGTTTTAATTGTACTTTATATGAAATTCTATGAAATGAGCCTGCCTCGGCGGGGAGGGTGGCGTATAAACCTAAATAAATAAATGAATAAAATTATACCCCACAGAAGCCACTCCCCTTCCCAAACCCTGCGCTCCCCATGCTCTACCTCCAGATCTCTAGGAATTTTCCAACCTGAGTTGGGAACGCTATGCTTAGGAGACCAGATGAGATTTTGCTGAAAAGTTAGCAAAGAAAGGGAAGTCTCCCCCTCCCACATGTTATGTGCTTTATGTATGTATGTATGTATGTATGTATGTATGTATGTATGTATGTATTTATTTATTTATTTATTTAATTTATATCCTGCCCTCCCTCCCAGGGCAGGCTCAGGGTGGCTTACATAAAATG